TAGAGCATGTAGATTCCTGCAAAGGAAAAGAACAAAATATTGTTATACAGAACTATATTTTCTTTTGGATGCATGCGGAATTTTGCTGCCAAAAGACAGGGAATTTCCTATTATGCAAACTCAAGGAGGATGTGCATGTTTGGATAATATTAGAGAAATAAAAAATACACAAAATTAACCATTAATTCTAAATGCTATTTCTTTCATACATATCATATAAAGGCAGGTGATGAGGTCTTAAAACCGGACGGCATAACACATCTATTTATATTGCACTGTGACCTATGTGTGCATTCTAGGTTTAGCAGATTTTACTTTTTGTTTTTCTAAGATATTATATGATTGAGTTGATTTGCATGGCTAAGATATTTTCATGCTATTTTTATAATATAGGTGGAACAAACTTGTCCAAAAACCATTTGAGGAAGGCGATGAGAGAGGGCTAAAGTTGGTTCAATCCATTCTAAAGCCAATCATGTTAAGGAGAACAAAGTCTAGCACTGATAGAGAAGGAAGGTGTGTGCAACGGCTACGCACACCATAAGTTATCCCATCTTAGCTTTTTGTATAGTGTGTGCCTAAAGTTTTTTATTGTTACAGGCCTATTCTAGTTCTCCCTCCTGCTGATATTCAGGTGATTTACTGTGAACTCACAGATGTTGAGAAAGACTTTTATGAGGCCCTTTTTAAAAGATCCAAGGTATGTTCTATTCATGATTGCATTTATATAGTAATATTTAATTAAGTTACATCTATGTTGTTTTATACATAACTTTTCATGGGGATTTTTCAGGTGAAGTTTGATAAATTTGTTGAGCAAGGACGGGTTCTTCACAATTATGCTTCGATATTGGAGTTACTTTTGCGTCTTCGCCAATGTTGTGATCATCCATATCTTGTGATGAGGTGTAGATCTTAACCTACCTGGTAGTTTAATTAATTAAGTAATCCAGAAGGGATTCCTGAACTTGCAAAGTTTAGATGCATTCATAGATCAATTCTTTGAGTCGGAAATGTATACAGTGGGTTTTTTTTCAAGAGGTTGTGATCCCCTACTATAATCTCCTCTCTTATCAGTATAGCGCTGAATCAAAGATAAAATCAATGATGACCTCAAAATTCTTTTCAGCAAATTGGAGTGCCAACTGAGTGATTACAGTGTGCCAAAACTGCACAGGAATTCTGCTTAGAGAACGCTTAAATTTTTCACACGAATCTGAGCATAAAATTCACAAAAGTTTTACAATTTTTTTCATGATTCCTGTTTTCTTATGGAAACCAGTTGCATTTGCGTTTTCTATTTTTTCCCTTTAGTCGGTTTGATTTTGTTGTTTTTTAAAGTGATATACCTGCTTTTGTCACTGCTATATTTAGTGTAATCATTGTCACCATCATTCAAACAATCCTTTGGAAAATTGATAGTTCCTTGGACTGTTTATTTTCCAAATTTCAGACTGGCCGTAGAAATAAGTGCTGAGAGAATAGAGAGTGACCCTTTTTCTTCTTTCTACTTTTTTCCTCTCATAATTAAACTTCATGATCTAGGGTACTTTGATGTACTTCTCTTGAATCTTTCTTAAAAGAAGGTAAGAATAACTTTCGTTTATAATGGGTGAATTAAATGCATCCAGCCGAGGTGATACCCAAGAATATGCAGATCTGAATAAGCTAGCTAAGCGTTTCCTGAAAGGCAGCCATAATGAACTAGAAGGTGAAGCCAAAGATATGCCTTCACGGGCATACGTACAGGAGGTTGTGGAGGAGCTACGCAAGGGGGAACAGGGAGAATGTCCAATATGTCTGGAAGTATTTGAAGATGCTGTATTGACACCGTGTGCTCACCGTTTATGCCGTGAGTGTCTCCTGGCAAGTTGGAGAACTCCTACTTCTGGGTTATGTCCTGTTTGCAGGTAAAGTCTAGTAGCTTCAAGTACTTCAACTTTTATCATGTTGTCTTTTCATTCCTTTCCCCTATTCCTTTTGTTTTGTACTCGTTGGAGCATTTTCATTATGAATTTTTCTGGTCATACATTCTCAGATAATATGTTTTCACCTTATTGCAGGAAAGCCATCAATAGGCAAGACCTTATTACAGCCCCGACTGATAGTCGTTTCACGGTTGATGTTGAGAAAGATTGGGTGGAATCATCTAAAATCGTTGTTCTTTTGCAAGAACTTGAAAATCTTCGCAAATCAGGCTCCAAGAGCATTATATTTAGCCAGTGGACTGCCTTTCTGGACCTCTTGCAGATTCCTCTTTCTCGGTAATACATTTAGCTGCCTAAAATTTTCAGAGTATATCAGTTGTGTGAGCATGGCAAACTTAGCCCCTGATTAGAACCTCTTTCACACAATTTGGCTCATTCACTATTTAGAGAACAATCTGGCTATCCATTTATTAATTTCTCATCACTGGATACTCTTAAGCAAATGATTTGTCAGATGCATTTCAATATGTGATTCGTTATCTTGTTAAATCTTCATGAAGTTGATATCGGACATGATGGTTGTTTAGGATATGAAATTGTCAGAGATCTTTTAGAATGCTTTTATACGAGTGTTTTCCTGTAATGTTCTGGCTGAATGTCTTGGCTTTGTTATACTTTATCATGGAAGTCTCAGTAATGCTATTTGGTAATGAATATTTATTTACTGCTGCGTTAAATGGTAATGAATGTTTATACTGCTGCATTAAATGTAACAGTGTTGTGAAGTTTTATGTCTGGAAATCTTGCACACCTGGAATTATATTAATCTATTTCTTGTTTTCTTTACAGGAACAATATTACATTTCTTCGCTTGGATGGAACTCTTACTCAGCAGCGGCGTGAAAAAGTGTTAAAACAGTTTTCAGAAGATACCAATGTCCTGGTCTGCGATTCTCTCCCTCTTTTGAAGGTTGGGGGTGTTAACTCTTCTTGTAGATGGCCTAGTCAATCACTTTGATATGGTGGTTGTTTCAGGTGTTGCTAATGTCACTAAAGGCGGGTGGGGTTGGAATAAATCTGACAGCAGCTTCCAATGCTTTTGTCTTGGTACGCACAGAACAACTTTCCATTTTTGAATTGTTTGACTTGTGTCTAGTACCGGTAAAGCTTTGACACTTTGTGATTTTATTTGATAGCAGGAAATTTTACTTTTGGGCTTTGATTGCTGTAAGTGGATTTTGGCTAGATATTATTTTATAGGGGTTTTGTTTCCAGGGAAATAAGGTGATGCTTATGGAGGGTTATTTAATCAACTTATGTGATGTGAGAACAAATAAAAAAAGATAAGCTTTAGGTTGAGACCATGCTTACGGATATATTTCAATTTTTTGTTGAAGGGCAATATCAGGCTTTCATAATATTTTAAGGAAATTATCATCTTTTAAATAACCTAGCTCACTTTAATTAAGTATCAGGGTACTTTAATATTTGCACCAAATGAATAAAATCTTCAATAGTCGTGGTCTGTTAAATGACCTTTTTTTATGAGTTTGAGAACTTGGGATCTGTTTTCTCGTAAGTTTTTTAAACAATTGACCCTTCAATGATAATACCCCTTGACTTGTTTATGTATTGTTATATATTATCATGTTCAAAGCCTGGGATAGTTTGAGGCTCAAGCGTTTGTGAGGCCTTTACTGGCCCCTTAAGTTGGAAGTACAACAATTCTGCCTATTCAAAATGTTTCTTAAATTCTTGAATTGGTCAACATGGTTGATGAACCAACATTCATGTTTCTGCAGGATCCATGGTGGAATCCAGCTGTGGAGGAGCAAGCTGTCATGCGCATTCATCGTATTGGACAAACCAAGAGAGTGATGATTAAACGGTTCATTGTGAAGGTACATGTTCCCCAGTAACTAAAGTCACTTTTGCTGATGAAGCTGCACTTTTTGTTTATGTTTTTGTAAACTAGGAGTCGTTAATATGGTTTAAAATTTGTTCAACCATAAATGGAAATGCAGTTGTCTGCTGCAAATGATATTTTTTCCCAATCCTTGCATGCTTGTTTAAAAATTCTTGATAATAGGGAACGGTTGAAGAGAGAATGGAAGCAGTGCAAGCACGTAAGCAGCGGATGATTGCGGGTGCCTTGTCAGATCAAGAAGTTAAAAGTGCTCGCATTCAGGAACTAAAGATGCTTTTTACTTAAACGTCCTCAAATATGGAGAATTTTTGTTCAGATCACTTGTCATGGGTTGGTCACTCTTGTTAGCCGCTTGTCCTCTTTTATCCAGCAAACACGCCTTAGTCCTAATGAAGGCAAGATTGGAGGCTAAGCAGTTTTTTTCTGGTTGATTCATGATAATTAAATTAAAATTTAGGGCTGTTGAAGGGGTAGGCTGATTGGGTGAGATTCCGTTGTTGGAAACGCTGTAAATTTTGATGTACAGTACTTAGCATATACATTTTTAGGTCCCAAGGGGGCTTAGCCTTATTCACCAATCATCACCTTATCTCAAAGCGTAGAATTAGTTGGATATTTTGTGAGAAGCACTATAATGTGTTGAAGTTGGGGAGGTAGAACCGTTGAAGATTTAATTATGTCATGACTATTATATGAATGAATAGAGAATTTATAGCATTTTCTGGTCTCAACTATTGTAATATAAGTATTAGTGTTTTACTTATAGCAAGTATTACTGTATCATTTCAATTGTTTAACCAGCTCAATTGCCAAGACATTAATTTGAGAAGGACTATATTATATTTACAATTTTATTTTACAAATTTGATGTGATCGTTCAAGATTGGCCATAGAAAATTTGTAAGATTTCAAATTAGAGAAGCTGAAAAGGCATCCAAAAGATAGAGTTGTGATTTCTAAATAAATGATTTCAATTAAATTTACAAGTTGAACAAGGATTTGATGTTTTAGTTGGATTAAGTTGCTACTTACACAATAAAAGACCCACTTCAATTTATATGAAATTGTAATTTAGAATAAATTTTGTTTAAAGAAACAAATCACAAAAATGTATTGATAGACAAATAATGATATAAAAAGGGTAAATTGGTTTAAAAAAAAAAAATGGTTTAACTTTTTTTATTTTTTTCTCATTGCCCGAACCCTAACTCCACCCTTTTTCCTCTTTCGTTCCACCTTTGAATCACTGAATCCAATCAGAAATTGATTGTTGTGATTGGGCAATATGAGTTCAGAATCAGAATCAGAATCTGTTTCTCCTCGGCCACGGTTGTCGTGCATCAAGTGTTTCGACGCTCTTTGGTTCTGCTATTCACCTGTTCATCAGATGCAGCAGTATTATCGCCTGGGAACTTTTGATAACTGTGTCAATAAATGGGCTGCTCTTGTCGATTGTTTATCTCTCAAAACCAAACCCTCTTCTCAAGTTGAGGTAATCAATTAACAATTTTTGAAATCCATCTTTATTGGTGTATTATTGTGAGTAAAAGATTTTGCATTTTCAATGTTTTATTGTGAGAAAAAGATTTTGCATTTTCGATGTTGTGTTGGTGGATTGTTAGGAGACTTTTAACTTAGTAAATCTATCTCCTTTTTGTTGATACTGAATATTTCAACTTTATTGTAGATGTTGTTTATATAGTTGGTTTGATTTATTTTTTAGCAGTTTATGAATGTTGATATTGATGCTTGAATATTGTTGATGAATTGTGGTGTTTGAGGGAATCACAACCCTCTTCAGGATGGGAAATCGTGAAGTTCAATCCTTCCAGGATAAAATCCTGCTATTATTCATGTTTTTCACTTTGTGTTTGCCTCTACAAAAATCTATCTTCAAATCAAGCTGCTTTAGTTCCATTTTACCATTAACAAATATCTTTTACTCAAATTATGACTTTCAATTATGCGTTTGGGTAGTTGTTGTTTTTTGTCTGTACCCTGCAAGGCTGCAAGTAACAAAAACAGAGCCTCTGGTTGCAGAACATTCTGGAAGCTCGTGAGAAGGAGAAGGAGAAGGCCCACATCTGGACATTTCGGACGCCGGAAGAAGCCACATCTCACTGGAAAAGTCTGTTTGGACATTTAGATGAATGATGAGCTTTTATAATCATTATTCTCCAGATTTTGTACTGCTGGTTCTAATTCAAAGAAGATGCGGATGACAATGTTTATCAGACCTTTAAGAGTGTTGTGATTCATCAATGTTGCAGAAAACCAAACTACAAATAAAGTTTTAAATGTTCCTTTTATCATCTTCATATGTGTTAAACTCTAAATGCCAGGTTTCCATTGAAGTTCATTCGATAATATCCTGTGTCTGGGTGATGATATGGGTTTCCTTTTGGTAATGGGTTTCCTTTTGGTCCGGTAACCAGGAAAACCATTGCACCCCCCATTGGATATAGGAACTATATTATCTTTAATACTGACTTTTTAGCTTTATCCAACTGTTTGTAAGAAATTATAGGGTTTTTGTTGGCCTCAAGTTTAATCAAATAACAAAATTCTTTATGAGATTTTAAAAATAACGTAAATTCTCCTGTTGTTAGTGAGGCGTAATGTACCTAATTATCTTTCTGCCATTTATTTCAACATCAAAAACTTATCAATAAAAAGATTTCAATTATTACTATGGCTATTGAAAATTTTATTATTTAATTATACTTAAAAGGGTTATTATTGTTATTAATCCAATGTTATATTGTAAATACTAAATACAAGTAAACAATTTTTTCCTATCTAAATAATGGTTTAATAACATTTTTTTATAATAACATTTTTTTATTCACAGACTTTTAAAATATCACTTTATTACTCAAATTTATATTCAGTTTTCAATTTTAGCATCGTTGTGACCCACACTACCACCATTCTCTTCCATGATCATCACTCACAAAAACCCTTTAAACCGTACTCCCGCCAACCTCACCAATCGTCGGTAATTGAGCGATTAGGCTTTGCGTAGCCACCCCTTTAAAGTCAAATTCTGATCAATCCTAACCACTAAAATCCGATCTTTCACTACCAAAAGACTCATCGGGTTCCTTTCTTCAAAAACCTCAATAGCTTGGACCGAGTTCGCTCTTTGTTTGCTGTTGGAATATAAATTTGGATGATAAAATAGTAGTTTAAAAGTCTATATGTAGAAAAGTGTCATTAGACCATTATTTGAGTGGAAAAAAGCCGTTAACTCTTGTATATAGACATGGAAATTTTCATATATGAACCTAAAATATGTGACTTCAATTTTGGTTAAGAAGAAATAAATATGTATGAGTTAAATTGTGGTATGCAAGATTTGATTTTTGTTTTTGACAGCAAATTTTATGGAGGATAAATTGTGTTGGGAAAATGATGTTATATGAGAAACAGGGAAAGCACACCTCTTAAAATTGTTGGAAAGGTGAGTTAAATGAAGGGATAAAAAATTATTTAAAATAATTATTATGTAAATAGTGTTTAGCATAACCTCTTGGAATTTGAATTGTTTATTATAATCTATGAAAGAATCAATAAAATATGGTGAATAATTAGGATAAGTATGAAAAATCATATCTTTTATATTTATCAACTTCACGTTTTCTTCACTTATGAAATTAAAAAAAGGAAGGGTTATCAACTTCACGTCTTTTTAAATAACAATATCTAATTCATTTCTTTTACTGACGTTCGTATTCAAGATGCTTCAAATTTTGCAGTATATAAAAATTATTAGAAAGACCATTTAATTTAGGATTTTATTTTCTCCTTCTATAATTAACTTATAATAAAATAGAGTAAACGANCATGGAAATTTTCATATATGAACCTAAAATATGTGACTTCAATTTTGGTTAAGAAGAAATAAATATGTATGAGTTAAATTGTGGTATGCAAGATTTGATTTTTTGTTTTTGACAGCAAATTTTATGGAAGATAAATTGTGTTGGGAAAATTATGTTATATGAGAAACAGGTAAAGCACACCTCTTAAAATTGTTGGAAAGGTGAGTTAAATGAAGGGATAAAAAATTATTTAAAATAATTATTATGTAAATAGTGTTTAGCATAACCTCTTGCAATTTGAAGTGTTTATTATGATCTATGAAAGAATCAATAAAATATGGTGAATAATTAGGATAAGTATGAAAAATCATATCTTTTATATTTATCAACTTCACGTTTTCTTCACTTATGAAATTAAAAAAAAGGAAGAGTTATCAACTTCACGTCTTTTTAAATAACAATATCTAATTCATTTATTTTACCGAGGTTCGTATTCAAGATGCTTCAAATTTTGCAGTATATAAATTTATTAAAGAGACAATTTAATTTAGGATTTTATTTTCTCCATATTTAAATTACTTTCTATAATTAACTTATAATAAAATAGAGTAAATGACTTTTTCCCACCCGAGGTTTGCCTTAATGATACTTTTCACCCCAAAAGATTCAAAATACCATTTTCCTACCAAAAGTTTATATTTTGTTAATACTCAAAATACACTTCACTTTCTTAGTCGGTGTTCAGCTAGTGACCAGGAGCCAGGTTAAGGAGGCTGGTGGATCGAATGATGGTAACCGATTGAATATTCGCCGTCGCAATTAGTCGAAAATTAGCTAAGAATAGGAAACCCTAACTTTGCGGTGGCCAACATAATTGAGAAATCAAGTGCCAGAGTGAGAGGGGTTTTGTAGAAAGGAGATCAGAGGTTCAAATGATAGTGACAGAAAGAGTTTTCATGGCCGGAATCGGCTTTGGGTAGTAACAGAATATTAGCTTTAGGTGGGAAAGTGGTATTTTGAAACGGTTTGGGTGGGAAAGTGGTATTAAGGTAAACCTTGGGTGGGAAAAAGTCGTTTACTCTAATAAAAATATCTAATATATTATATGATTGTCACAGTTAAACTATAAGTTTGTTTCCCAATATTACATTGAAATTCCTTTAAGTTTTAAAATCAACGTTACAAATTTATAACATTAATTACTATTAACTATATACTTAAATAAAATCTCTCTTTTAAAGCAATATATAAAATTCCCTTCTTAATTATGCCACTGTGATTCCTCCAACATTTATTTTGAAAATTTTACCCATTTTAATTAAATTTTGTATTTAATAAAAAAATAGTTTGAGAATCAGTTTTTGAATAAAATTCTAAAACGGACAAAGTCAACTTCTTTTTAAATATAAAGGAAGATAAATTTAGATATTAAATAAATAAATAATACCAAGTCAAATCCTTGGATTAGAGGTTTAAAAAATGTTTTCATATCATAGAGCAAATCTTTTCATTTTATTAGTGGTAGTTAAATTTAATTACCACTCATATCATAAGTTACAAGATCTAACATAATCAGTAAAACATTAATAATGTAGAAATAAAAGGAATTAAATTGATTTACCGTTTATTACATTTCATGCAGATGAATGAACAGTATCAGCACCATACAAATTTTCCTTTCAGGCGCCTTTTGTGAATCACTGTTTGTTACACAACTCTTCATCAACTTCTCTTTTAAACACAAACTCTTCTCTTTTATTATCTCTTTGAGAAGGGTAATCATCATGGAGGACAATAATAAAACTACTGCCACAGTTTCTGATGAGTCTCCGGCTGTGAACTGTGGAAGTGCTTTAAGATTAAGTTGTGGCGAAGGGTCAGCTGCTAGTGATGATACTGAAGCTAGAATGAAAAGAAAGAGGGGCAGACCGAGAAAACATGAGCATGCAGACATGGAATCACAGCCTCTGGCTCTTGTGTCTTCTAACTTTTCGGTTGATTTTGCAGCTAAACGGCGAAGAGGCCGGCCCAAAGGCTCTGGAAAGTTACAGGTTTTGGCTTCCCTTGGTGAGTTTTTGCTCTTCAAAATATCTGTTTGGTTTAATTTTATAAAAAAATTTTGATGATAGAATGTCACTTGAACGTTTGATAGCATTACTTGTGAAATAATCTATTAAGTACTTCTGATTTGTGTTTTAATTTGTGCCTTAAATTTTCAAGTACTTGGGTTTTGATTATGAAAAGAGTTGAACCCAGGTGGTGAATTACTTCCCTTTTGTGTTTCGGTTAGAAGATGAGTTAAATTGAGCAGATTTATGATAAACATAATGCACTTGAGAGAAAACTTGACTAATTACTTGTTTCATCTGATGCAATTTTTTCAATTTAGTATGTGAAGTTTGAGCTTATTGGAGCGGATTTCTCATTCTTATGTCGGAAACTTCAACTTTTGCAGGAGGTTACTTTGCAGAAACGGCTGGAGGAAACTTCTCCCCTTATGTTCTGACTGTAAACACAGGGGAGGTAGAAGGATTTTGCCTGGTCTTTTTGTATTCTATTTTTCGATACCAATTGGCGTACTTGAAGTGATTCTATGAGTCGTTTGACCTGCAGGATATTGCTGGTAAGGTGATGTCGCTTTTACAAAGGTCTCCTCGAGCTGCACTTTGCATTCTTTCTGCCGCTGGCATGGTCTCTAGAGGTGTTATAAGTCAACCTGGTTCTCCTAATGGTGTATTGAATTTTGAGGTATGATTTTGACTAGCAACGTACTTCTTTTCTATCTGTTTTCTTGATTTTCTTATTTCATTGCAACCTTTGAAGGCTTTTTTGTTGAATACTATGCTTATCATTGATATAATTTCCCTATTTTTGGATATCTTTTTGGTTTCGGGTGGGGGGTGGGTGGGGAAGGTGTCAGAGTGTTGCACTTGAATCAAAGAGTTCTCCAGGGGCAGGGGACTCCTTGTGAAATTCCAGAGTCTGTTAAGTGTGGATATTTCCTAGACGAAAAGACATCTGCATAAATTACCAAGCTTAATTTCGTGGTATACACAGCAAGTTAATACTTCCATATGAATTTCAAGCTTATATGTATAGTATTCCAGAACTTATGCATCAGATTTCCCAGTATGCTTCTAAGACATTGGGATTGCAGCTAGTGCTGCCATTAGGCCCTCAGTGGCTATTCACCACCACAATGTTGAAATTGATTCAGATTTAGCTGTTGGTGTTTAATGGTAAGCATTTAATTCTTGAACATTTCCTTCTTAATACAGGGTTGCTTTGAAATTCTATCTCTATCTGGATCATTTAGTTATGGTCAAGCGGGCGGCAATCGTCTAGCGAAGGGCATGTTAACCATTTCTTTGGCTAAACCCAATGGGCAAGTTTTTGGTGGTGTTGTTAATGGTTCTCTAATTGCAGGTGGCCCTATCCAAGTACGTCTTGCTCTTATTGTGTTTTTCAAACTCAAGTTCTTCTACCTAATACCCTTTAAAATGTTGCATCTCTAAGAGATCTTAAACTGAAATGAAAAGGTCAAAATTCTTGTCCGCATTTAACATGTATTTATTTAATGGAAGATGCTTGTTTTATAATTGGATGGTGGCCCTGTTTATAGCAAAATGCAGAAAAAGTTATTGCTTGAGGACAGAAACTAGTATATATCATTCTTATAAATATTAAGGTTTGTCTGTTTACAAATTAACTTAAATGACTCTTGACCTTAACTGACAGACTCATTTTGGATTCCTTGTGATTATCAGCTTATTGTTGCCACTTTCAAGAAAAACATAGCTAAGGAAATTAAAAGAAGGTATTCTTCTGACTCTTCCACCGCTGCCAGTAGGCTTGGAGATTCAAAGATGGCAGGAATTCCCATAAATAATGCTAGGATGACAGATGACGACGAGAACCCCAGTACACAAACAACTACACTCTTGGAATTAGCCCATAAAGGAGTAGATACTGTAATTGCTGAAAACCATCACTCAAGTCCTGCTTCTCCCCAAATTGTGGATGAGAATGCCTTGCAGGTTTGACAGCCCATATAAAATTAAAAGACATGTCTAGATATTTTCATTGCTAAAAATCAGGATTTTAGTCTTGTTTATGTACAGAATGTTGGTGACAATGTTTTACAGCCTGTATCAGACAAAGGGACATCTCCAGATAGTATTATTGTTGAAAACCAAACCTCAAGTCCAGCTTCTTTGCACAATATTAATGAGAATGCATTGCAGGATTTGCAACAGATATCAGATCAAGAGACATCTCAAGATATGACTATTGCTGAAAACAAAATTCAGAGTCCCACTTCTCTGCACAATATTAGTGAGAACGCCTTGCAGGATTTGCAGCCCATATCAGAGAGGGGGACATCTCCTGACAGTGTCACTGTTGAAAACCAAATATCAAGTCCTGCTTCTCCACACAATATTGCTTTGCGGCCCATATCAGACCAGGAGACATCTACAAACACGATTATCACTGAAAACCAAAACTTGAGACCTACTTCTCAGCACAATGTTTGCAAGAATCCCTTGGAGGTTTTGCTGGTTGTATCAGAAAAAGGGACATCTTCAGATGGTTTCACTGCTGAAAAGCAAATCTCAAGTCCTGCTTCTCCACAGAGTGATAGTGAGAATGCCTTGCACAATTTGCAACCCATACCAGATCAAGAGATATCTCCATATACGACTACTGCAGAAAACCAAAACTCAAGTTCTACTTCAAGGCACAATGTTAGTGAGAATGCATTGCAAGTTTTGCAGCCCATGTCAGACAAAGTGACATCTCCCGTTAGTGTCGTTGAAAATCCAGTCTCAAATCCTGCTTCTCCACACACTGTCGGTGAGAATCACTTGCAGATTTCGCAAACTTTGTCAGACCAAGAGACATTGCCAGAAATGACTACTGCTGATAACCAAAACATGAGTCCTTCTCTGCAAAATGTTGGTGAGAATGCCTTGCAGTTTCAGCAGTCCATATCATATCAAAAGACATCCCCAATTACTAACATTGTTGAAAACCAAAATTTGAGTCCAATTTCTCCACACAATGTTGGTGATAACACCTTGCTGGTTCAGCAGTCTTCGGACCCTAACTATTTGGAAGACCAAAACTCAACTCCTGCTTCTCCACATAATGGTGGTGTTGGTAAGAATATGTTGCGGATGTGGCAGCCCATATTCGACCAAATATTATCTCCAGAAATCAATTAGAGTATCCTTGACAAGTAAAGTTGTCTTTCTTCCTCTCTCCATCTAGTGCAAACTACAAATTATTTTTGTTATCCACATTAATACTGATTAAAATTTATTATAGACTTGTGGAAACTGATTACTGAAGTAGGAACGGCATATGCGGTTTGCATCTGAGGGTTGTAGATTTCACCAATGACTTTTATTGCTAATAAAATGAATTCCTTAGTATTATTGTTTCCGTATTTGTATTTCAATGATTCATTCTATTTACCATGAGAAATCTTTGTATGTTTCTCTATCGTCAATACACTTCCACCCCCTAAAAATTCCACGCAATTTCAGATATCCATTTTCACGAAAATGAGGTTGTGCCCCATAATCTTGACCTCAAGTTTTTAGATTTAGTTTAACTTTTCTGATATATCCCTCAAGCTTTACTTGGTTAACAATTTATTGGATCAGGCACTGAGCAAACATGCTTGATAGGATTTCTGGTTTCTTTTGACTCATTTCTCGAAGACTCAGAAGAAAAAATATTGAATTTCCTATCAGCCTGTTGGAAGATTGCTCTGTCATTGGTAAAATGAGAATGGCTACTAAACTCACGGTAACCAGGGAAGATTGCTCTGTCATTGGTAAAATGAGAATGGCTACTAAACTCACGGTAACCAGGAAGGGGTTGCTATTGAGGAAATTTTATATTATATAGCATGGTTGTTAGTATCCTACGATGTGCGATACGTATCCTATGATACTATTCAATATGGGTTGTCAACGATATGTATTAGAGAGTGTGAGAGTGTATCATAAACCTTTCGATACCTTGATATATATCCTTCGATACGATACGTATCCATTTGTATCCTTAAAAATATTGATACAAATCGATACGATTTTATTAATTTGAGTCAAAGGTCCAAAAAATTTTTCAGGTCAAATCCAGGTCACCTAACCCGATTCACTAAAACCTGCCCATATTTACCTATTTTGCATGGAGAAAATGAAAAAGGAAGATATGTTGCCTATTTTACATGATAATAATAACACAAGTAGAGTTATAGATATTCACATTAATCTTAGAAATGATATGAATGGTTCAGATGAAATGATATAGATTCTTAATTTTGTGATTAATTTTGATTATGTAATACCATAATTTAAAGCCAATAATACCACAAAATTTGTTAATTAATCATGGGGATGATATTAATTTTTTTGAAAATAGCGTATCCTGTAATACGATACAATACGTAATACATGATTCAAAAAATTAAGTTTTCGATATACGATAGAATACTAGATTTAACAACCATGTTATATAGTGTTAAGTATCAATAGAATGACTGGCTCCTAAAGTCTTAACAAATAGCCAGATTGGCGTGATTATACATTAGCAAATAATTTATAAGTTTTGGCATCAAGGCTTATTTGTCGAACTGCTGCAATGGCTGCTATAAGTCCTAGTGTTGAGAAAACCACGGCGATAGTGACATTTAACCAAAATATGGGGCTCCGCTTTGATGGCTTGAATGTCAAGTTAAAGAAAACCACTGGTAAGACAAAGTCGAGAGGCATGAAACCAAAAGCTCCAATGACCGAATTGATGTCTCCAAAGAATGGAAGCATTGCTGCTATGGTTGTTGATATAATAACAGATAATGAACGAGCAATGACCCTGGGGATAACATTGCGAGGAGAGAACTCTTTGCTTATTGGATCTGCAAAGGTTTGCTCAAGCACTTCATTTGTTGGCTGCAAATAAACCTGTAAAACCAATATGCTTTCATGAACATTCCAACTTTCAGAGAGAGCTGAGGAAGTTGTATTTAGAGAAATGTTCTTACCACACCAACAGCTGATAGTTGCAGAATGGTGAACATATTGGTCATGAAAATAAACCACTTTGGGACCAAAGGTTTCCCATCATCCAAGAAGTTGCTAAGAATGAGGCCTTCAGATTGGTTGCCAAATGCCCAATAGCCAGATATGGCAACACTGAAGAAAGTTACAGTAACTACTGCATAACAAACACATAATCCCTTGAACATCTTCCCCTTTAACCGGAGGTGCAATCGTGGCTGCATGTAGAATTTATAAGTGCCCATTACATTCAAACAACACCACAACTACAAAACGATTGTGCAAATAATTTTGCATCAAAAATTATAACATTCAATTTCAGACCTGAATTTCAGGAATGATACCATTGCCAAATGTTGTGGCAATGAGGCGATAGCATTGAACATCCCAAAAACTCGACTCTGACTATCTCCAGTAACGGAATAGTCTTTACTTGGCCCTTTGGAGGAATTCCTGAAAAATAACAATGGTTCATTATAACTGATATAGTATACACATTTGTAACTGTGAAATAAGTTTATAATCTGCCATTGTTCTTACCGAATAAATAGAGCCGGCTGTAGCACAGGCGCTATATGCGAGGCATAGAGCTAAAGATCAAGTGATGTGCTCAGAGAAGTGGAGATGGGATTTGAGCTAAATAAGCATAAGACATCCAAATATGATCACGAATTCATATAGCTTGATGGTGCCATTGGTTCTACCAGTAAGTAAATGGCCTGCCAAAAAGGAAGAACAAGTTTAAAAAGCATAGTAAAATCTGATTAAACAGTAAATGGGTAGAAATTGAATGTTACTTATAATGATAATGAAACTTAACCTGAGAGTTGTCCCCAGAAGAGTGCATGCTACAACAGCACCATAGCACACCGAACTGAATTGGACCAACAAAATATCGACCCCAATTTGGCCCTGCAAAATCCAGTTTGTGTATTCAAGTGGGTAACATTTTGGTTTGTTGAATAGTAAAACAAGGATGCTTCTGTATAAGTCATGTTTCAGTATGAATGATAAATTAAATTGTTTGAATAAAAATAATATGTTTGGATAAGTGTTTGTGGGATTGTATATATTGTTCAGTTGAACTATGGCTTGATTGGTTGAAATTAGTGGTTATATTAAAAATATAGAGAGGAATAATGTTGAGAGAGAGTTTGGAAACACAATAGTTTTGGGTATATAATATCATTTCTCAAAATCAGAAAAAAAGTGCCCATTTGGATTATTTATACTTTAATACAATTATTATTATAATTTTTTTTTTGGGATAAGAATAAAGAATTACATCTAAAAGGATGACACCCGAAACAAGCGACCCTAAATAGACAAGGACACCGCCTAACAAAAAGAGCAAAGGAAGCCGGAAAATATACCCTTTACACACCCAAACACCCCTTAACAGCCAATTATTATTTATTATAATATATGATAGAAGGAGGTGAGAAAATTGAAACAAGATAGTCAAAGACCAAACTTTTGACCTAAGGATAGTTTAGATTTAGTTGACAACTAATGAACATGTAGTAGTCCAAAAACATCTTTGAAAACTAATCTCACTTTGAATATAATAATGTGTAGCTTAATCTTTTGATTTATCTAAGGCTGATGTTTTTGACTTCTAAAACACTTTCAAAAGAAGTACGCAACAATTTAACATAAAAAATAAATTCTCACTTATTTATTTATTTATTTTTTATAGGTATAGACATGTATGAAAGTGAAGTCTTAAACTACTATTGATGGTTGAACGGTCAACTAAGACTCGTGGGTGTATTACTCAAGAAGTTTTGAGTTCGATCCTCTTGACAGTTAATAGGGGTGACCATTGAGACTTACCCGATCGTGAACTTTAGAATCCTAAATTTTTTTTAAAATACGTATAAATTGATTTAAACAATTCGATGATAATTAAAAAAAAAAAAAAAAAAAAACACCTGAAGCGCTTGTGAACACCCTGTCACTAAAAAATTAAAAAAAAAAAAAAAAAAAAATCAATAGCATGTTGGATGCTTCTTAAAGGTGGTAAGCTTTTTGGCACATCGTCACTAACTAGCTCTTCGTATTCCTTCAATAACTGTCAGATTTCAATGGGATATTGGGGTGATTTTCCAACCTGGTCACTCTCCACAATTTTGTTTATTAAAGCATACATGATCCCCATCTCACCATGCTCAGCATTAAACTTTTCGACATTCAAATACCCAGTTGTTTTGCTGGTTGTAGAACTCTTAGTTGCCAATTGCTTTGCCTTTTCTTTGAGAGGATACAAAGTGTACCTCTTGTTATCCTTGTAAAAGGAGTAAGTATTAGGCTTTGTCTTATGATCCATATCATGATCAAACAACCAAGGTCTTCCAACAAGAATGTGCCCCACATCCATTGGTACAATGACACATAAAGCTTCATCTTCCAAGTTACCTCCCATGGTAAATTTCACCAAACATTGAGAAGTTATCAGTATCTTGTGTCCCTTTTTGAACCAACCCACTTTGTATGGATGAGGATGTGTTATTGTAGGAAGCTTTAATTTGTCCACAACCCGTGCTTCCTCCATCAATGACAAGATCACAAACCTTACCTCCACAAACAACACGTGTACGGAAAATGCTACACCTCCTCCAGTATTCCTCTTCATCTTTTATTGTTGTTATCATTACCTTTCGTACCACCAAAGACTCACTTTCAGCCACATGAACATCAATTTCCTCTATCTCCTCATCATATTCATCAAAAACTGGGTCTAACTCTTCCTCAACACCCAGCTAAATTCACCCTCCTTTGTGGGCGAGCGAATGAAGTATGTCCCTTCTCTCCACAAGTGAAAAACATCGGACCTGAGAATTGCTGCCTCCTTTAGCTACAGATGAACTAGAATTATTTTGTCCCCCATAAGATACGATACTTTTCCCTTTATCACTCCTTTCAACATTGGTTGCACCTCTGTTGGTTTTATTAGTTGTAGTGGTCTCTTTCCACTCCCGTTGGCCTGTTTGATACCCACGTCTAGGTCCCAAATTGTTTTTCCAATTGGTTCTATCTATGGGTTTTCTCACACCATAACGGGAAATTCGCTTTTCAGCTGCTAAAGTGTATTGTCGAGCATCCTCAATATTGTATAAACGAACTACTCCCATCTCGTCTCTAATAGATTGATTCAAACCAGTAAGGTAGCGAGAAGTAATTTGTCATTACTTTCAGATAAGCCAACTCGAATTGATAAGTTATTAAACTCTGCAGTGTACTCCTTAACCGACATGTTGTTTTGCTTCAAACAATGGAGCCTCTCATACAATTCCATTGTATAATCAGCAGGTAAAAATTGCTTCCGTAGCTTAGTTTTCATGTGCTCCCAAGTGCTGATTTTAAGCTTG